GAATTTTCACAATCATATAAATGAAAAATTATTAAAATTATGGTGGTCAACTGCTCCCTTGATGTTGAAATTTCTTGGTATGTATTTGAGGGAGATAATAGATTGTGTTTTAACTGGTGCATCAATACAGTTGCCATGTTAGTGAAAGGGTAACACATAAAAATAATACTGTAAAGAGAAAAACCTACCAAAAATATTCCAGAATATTTTTGTAGAGAATATTGAGTAGAGTTCCCTGTGCTGTACAGTAGGTCCTTATTAGTTATCTATTTTATATAGTAGTGTGTATACGTCAATCCCAATCTCCCAATTTATCCCTTTCCCCCCAGTAACCATAAGATTGGTTTCTACAGCTGTGAGTCTATTTCTATTTTGTAAACAAGTTCATTTGTACCATTTTTTATTAGATTCCACATATAAGTGATATATATTTGTCCAATAAAACTTTTAAAAAGTCCCAACAGATTTTCTACCCTGGTGTCCACTGGTTAATTATATTCCACCTTGTTTCTATGCTAATCTATGAATTAATAAACCATAACTAATGATTTAGAAATTATCACACCATTTATGGGCAAAATGTACATCAAAAAGTTTTATCTTTAGTCACCAGAGAGCCTAAATTCACGACTGAAATTATTTTCCAAGACCTTCTTTGAAATTCCCATCAGTTTCATTTTAAATTTCCTAAGTTGCTATCTTTTCTGTCAATCATATACTGTTAGAATCTTCCTGTTTTATAAACTTTCAGCATTCCTCTCATCCCTATTCAATTATAAATTCACTATTTTGCATTCCCCCCGTTGACTGTAATTTACTGCTCATGCCTTCCATCCTTCCACTCGCAGAAGGCTCAAGAATTATTTATTGAACCCACCAGTATATCTAAATTTGTCAAATCAATTTTCTCTCTTATAGCCTGAAAAGGAGAGGCTGTTTATTTCAATCGATGCCTGCAAAAACAGCAGCTCGTGGAAACTAGTTAGAAGCAAATTCCCAAGTAACGCAGACTTGGCAGTATTCCATTACCTTTGATTATAAAAGGGCAAAATTAATGGGCAATTCATGAGGCTATGTGACAGAGAGGTGACAGGAAGTCACTACTATTCAAATGGTAGAAGTCAGGAGTTGTTTATAGTAGGTGCCATTTCAGCCTTTTTTCCATCATTATGTGAAAACAGTCAACTTTTGTGGCCAATTGAAATGGGCTTTTCCTTCCAGACCACTTTGTCACATCTCCTGTGTTTAGAAAATTAATCTTTAACGAATGCTAATCAAGTTTCTAATTATAATATCTTTATATTTAATGTCTGTGTATCAGATGAAAGGCAAACATTTTGGGGCCAGTCACAAAGGACATGAATAATTTCCTTAGAAGCTTATCTAATTAATTTTATTGCTCTATAATATCTTTAAATTTTGAACTCCCATCACTTCATTAATTTAGATAAAAGTGAATCTTCAGCATTTAACTATGACACTTGTGTCAAGCACTATAGGGTGCGGTAATTTCAGTTGTGTGCGTTCATCTAATACAGGTAATGAAAACACATTGGGGGATATTTTGGGGATATACGGCACCAGTTTATTGTTTGATTATATTTTATTGTTTTTCTCCTTGATTTAGCAGTTTCAAGAAATAAAGTAAATGTCTGGGACATTCATTTGCTTAAGAAAACAAAATTAAAACAAACCATAACTTCTCTTGTCAGTAAGCTTTATGCTAGCTTTTAAAATTATAAATCTCATCCAAAAATATTTCAGTGACTCGCCAGTGATCATATGATATAGCCCCTATGCTCGTGATCTTCTAACAATATTAAGTGATAGCTCCCAAACCTACATTACTTCTAACAACAGAAAAAAATTAGATGGTATTATTCTAGGGATCTGGGCCCCTGGATAGTTAACCACCACCCTGTCCCAGATCTTACAATAAGAGAAAGCATATATTACTTTAATGTTGAAAGTTATCCCAGAAAGAAGCTCATGGAGATTCTCTAGCCTCTATGCTTGAGTTTTACCACCTGCTGGCCATCTAGATCTAAGAGATAATTGCAGTTTCTTAAAACTGTGAGATTAAGAAAAGAGAAGAGAGAAGTTAAGAACATGTGCCTTGGCATAATTATCCTTTTGCCAAAATAGTGAGAGTAAAATCTGTATATGCATGTTTGCCTGTGGCGTGTGTGTGTTTGTGTGTGTTTGTGTGTGCAAGGCATGAGAAAGAGGGAAGACAAAGAATATCATATTTCGTAAACTTGGCCCAATCAACCATTTTCAGTGACTCTAACTCAGTAAGCTCAGCATTTTCTTCACTTCCCCAGGAACAAAATCATGTTTAAAGAGTACGACAGCTTTTTCTTATACCTGCAGTTTTCGAAGACAATGCATCTATTATTCACTGTTCAAGTCTATGTTGATCATTGTCTATGAATTGAATGCTTAACGAGACTGAAACATAATAGAAGGCTCCTCTAATCACTTATATACACAAGAGTTGGTCTAAGATATGGCACGGAAGAAATGAATGTTATGTAACTAACTAATCAATAGTCCTTAGAGTTGAAATACAGAGAATCACAAAATAAAATCAATCAACTAAAGAGACCTTGGGCAAAATCGAAGTATGAGGAAAAATATGGAATTTAAATGGTTCAGTTTCTCAGAGAGGCTTGCAGATTATTAGTGCAATTCTGAGAATATCAGTCGTGGTACAACCCATTAGATTTATCCAGCTTGATTTTTTATATTTGTACTCAAACTTCAAAGAGTGGTCAAACTTGAAATAAAAATTTATAACAAGCCTATAAGCATTCTTGAGGAAATGGCAGTGATTAGTTACCTTACCAGTAAACAAACAACAAGCAAATATACTTTGTTTTAAACTTCATCAATATAATACTGTGAAAATGACTCATGTTTGGAAGGCCAAAACTACATTTCGGAGTCTTGGAGTTAATTTTTGAGTCATATTGGTAAAGGCATGTAGCCCTGTGCATATCAGTCTCCACGTCAGTAATCCACAACGTGGGGATCACATTACCTATTGCATAGCTCTTCAGTAAGGACTGAATGAGGTGATTCTGTGAAATATCTTGCACTGTACATAGTGCACACTGAATATGCACGGTGCTGATGTTTCCAATTATAAAAGGTGAAGTCTAAGATACACTTGACTATGTGCCCAATATGATCTGGGCACTTCTAATTCTTCTCATATAATGTGTATAACAGTTCTGTAAATAAGGTGTCAAGGTCTTGAGTTTCAGTGTCCTCAGGAATAAAAATGAGCTTCAATAACATGTTCAGAATCATGTTGCTAGTGGGAGGCAAAGATGGGGCTCCAAACATTTGTTTCCTGCAAACACGGATTCCCTTTTTTACTCTTCAGCAGCTGCTATTCAGCTCATGGTCAGACTAGAAAAGAGATGTAAATCTTTAAGGACATAATCAGACCTTATTTCAAATACCTTATAACTCATTTATCTACCTGATTCAAGTAGATAAAGGGTAGAATGTAAGTTTCTTGTCCTCAGAGTCATGTGTTACACTTTTTAAAATTTTCCCTTCCACTGAAACTAGGGAGCTGCATGCCTCCTCTCTGAATGGGAATGAATTATTTCATTAGACATAAGACAGTAAAAGAAAAAGAACATATTAGGTAAAAGAAAAAGGACATTTAAGGCCACTGGTGTGATTTTTGGGAATTGAGATTTTTGTTCCATTACTGAGGTGGTTGGAATTCCAAAGGCTAATACTCATCCATCCATAGTTAATCAAATTAGAATATTGGAGAATAGCCATGGTAGTTAAATTCCAATCTTGTAGCATTGCCAGTGGGGTTAACCAACTATAAAATTGTAACATGGCTGTGATTATTTGGCATGTGCTTTCAAACACTTTTATATGTAATGAAAAAAATGAGTATTTGAAGGTTTCAGAGGTCTGAATTTAACCAATTGTCAAAAAGAAGAAGAGTCTGATATATCAAATACAAGTCTGTTTCTTCATACTCAAAAGCCAAAGATTTTTCCCCTCCTAGCTTGCTTATAAATATTCAGTGCCACAGAAACACAAATAAATAATTGGCCATTTTCAATGCATTCTGTGTAATTGACAAGCAATCAAAAGATTATTGCATGGTACAGTCAGAGTCAAATGGTACTGCATTTATTAGAAATGAAAAATCATCATGTGGGCCAAGTCAGCAATGTATTAATGGGCCAGATTTCTGTGCATGCATATTTGTGCGTGTATGCGTGTGTGTGCACGTGTGTGTGTGTGTGTATAATTTTTTAAATTTAAGGACTTAAGGCTTAAGGATTAAGGTCTGTGCTACTGGAATTGACCTGGAAAGATTAAAAGATTATTATCTGTTTACACTGATGAAAATCTTTATGAAAATGACATATTAAAATAACTTGGGCTTATCTTACCCAAAAAGATCCCAAGGTCAATTTTGAATAAAAAATAAAATTCATAAAAGATATGATTCCCTTTCTTTAAGATTATCCCTTTTATCAGTATTAAAGATGCCTTCTCAACAACTGATTTGGTTCTAGCCTTTTTTCAGGTTTTGATGTTCATCTTTAATATATAGTCAGTCGAACAAGTAACGGTGCAGAAATGGGCTGTCTACCCAAGATAAAGAAAGAGATAAATCTTTGTTGCAATACAGCATTCTTTTCTTTTGTACAATGGGCTTTTTCAATAAAATAAAGCTTTCTTCATCAAGGAAACCTCTTTTCATTTATTCAGAGATGGTCTTTATCAAGCTAAGCTCCAGCAAATGGTGTTTGGAATAATAATTTATACTTTTTTTTAAGCAGCCAAGCACTTGCTATTTTTCCTTGCTGAATGGTCAGATTCCATAATCACCATGTTGAAAACACCCTAATTAAGGGAAGTTGAAACAGACACACAAGCTTTCAAGAAGAAAGTTGAATTGCACATTAAAATGCAATATCCTCAATGCTGATGTTATTTTTTCCTTCCCATAGGGAACCACAGTCAGATATCCCGAGTACCTGTTGCTATTAAAGTGCTGGATGTCAATGACAACGCCCCTGAATTCGCATCCGAATATGAGGCATTTTTATGTGAAAATGGAAAACCCGGCCAAGTAAATATCTCCATGTTGTTAATGCTGAATATGTTTGTATACAGCTGTCTCATATTTGATTAACCTGCATTATAGTGTGCACTTGCATCATTCACAATCTGCAAAGTCATAGGCAAGAAACATCCAAACGGGAACAGAGAGGGAGTATTCTTCTTTCAGAGATGTTCATTCTCTTCCTACTTATGACCAAATTGGCTCCTGAAGCGGAATGGCCTGCTGTGCCATGAACCCTGAGCCAAAAAACTATCTTAAAATATCTCGGGGTGTGGATGATCACAGGGGAGGTCTTAGAGTGATGGGGCCAAAATTTTAACCTTCAAACGATGGAAAGTGAGGGAAAAGCCCATGGGAAGGCATGTTTGTTTCACATCAAATGTAGAAATAACACATAACATTGGAACCCTAGGAAGACCAATTGCAGGAAGTGAATTTTTAAATCTGTAAAGGTGTAGCTGCATTTAGATAGACATAATGTGAACAACATGTTTTAGACATGCAAGTAAAGCATCTGATAATTGTGTATTGATGTGTATTGATGGAACTTTTTTCTTTTAAACTGTCTTATGTAGCTTAGATAGGACAATGCAGACACAGAGAGAGAGACGGGGAGAGAGGAAGGAAGGAAGGGGGGAGGGAGGAAGGAGGGAGAGAGTTAAGAAAGAAGAACGAAAACAAAACCTGCTATACTCTGAATGTCAAAATGGAAATAGTCTATGTAAAGTTCTAAAAAACACAAATGTAATAGACTTATTTTAACAAGGTGCCAAAGTACTGTATGTTTAAGAAATTTATCGTTTTTCAACTTCCTAATTTATTTCTGGATGGTGACATTTTAATTTAAATAAACAGCAGCTGACAGCATGACACTGGAGTTGTTAATCCAACTATTCTTGTGCCTCACGTGGGTGTTAGGAATTCAACTTACTATATGCCGAGCAGTTTACCTGACAAGAGTCAGATTTCTTCCACCTAAGAAAGGAATAGAACTGTGGCTCTATACTTTTATTTAACTCTTACAAAAGATCAAGTTGCTACTCTCCTATAAAACAGTGGGCATTTTCCCCTAGACTACTCTCCTGTATCTGAAGGATTGGCATTGTTTCCATCTACAAAAAAAAGATACACATACATGTGCACACATACAAAGTAAAAGCTAAAATTCTAATAATAAAATTGAGTAATTTTAAACACTTAGACATCATAAATGTCGTTATAATCAAAACATTCACCTTCAGCAGTCATATGCCAAAGGTGACCTCTTTTTAAAAATAATATTCTAACATTAGTTTCAATGTTTCTTAATTTCATCATGTCGAATTGCCCTCTATCGGTCTTATCTTTTGAGTGTTTTTATTTGTGATCCTTTGAGGATGGAGTGTATATATACTTGGCAGCAAATATCATTTAGCTAAGTTGGTGAATGCAGTTGGTGGAGAGAGTCTGATCAAAATATATGCAGGTCAGTTTCAAGGATACGGTTGTGTGGGCCAGATTGTTGCTGGGGTAATGTAGCCAATCACAGAGTTATAAGCCAGACATTTTTGATCATAGAGAAACTGTCAAATGCTTTAGAATTTAAGTAAAACTCCACTGTTCATGCAAAACTCATCACACAAGTTCAGAGAGTCAATGGCATTGATATTTCAAAAATTACACATTGGCTTCACTTGTGATATTGACATGCATGCCTTTGGACCTCCTGGAATCTGGAGGTTTACCCTGTGGATTTTGACTGTTTCCAAGGTTTTAATGATTCCTCAACAGTTTTTATCCTCCGAAAAAAATGCATTGTTTCATCCCCTTTCCTATGCGAGATCAAAATAAAAAAAAAAAGTTGATTCTTTGTTTTATGATTTTTGCAAATCAACCTGAATGACTCATTCTGTGAAAAAATGTTTATGTTGTGTGTGTCCACTGCACTATCTTATCCTCAAATGAATCTATTTAGGCATGTTTATTAGAGTTCATATTTACATGAAGATAATCAGATCTTTGTCTGTTCAGCATAATTTTTGGACATATGGCTGACTGGTTGATACACACACAGTTGTTCAAATAGCTCCTGAATTCCTTGAATCCTTTGTGCTAGTCAGAACTCATGTTTGATTCATTATATCATTCCTAAGTCACTTTTAATAGCTCAAGTATCTCATTTTTATATTTAACATTTTCCCAAATTCATTTTTGTTATCCACACTAAATAGCGTTCACTTATATAAGTTCAACATAGATACACTTTCAATCATGTCTCATAATACCATACAAATGGCTGACTCACTTTGAAATTAGAATATTCATTATCACATTCATGCAAAACAAATGTCAAAGACTGAATTAGCACTAAATTCATAGTCATCTCAATATTTTTCAACAATTAATGTCTGCTTTATAACAGCCTAAGAGAAAGGAGTGCAGGTGGCTTTGAAATGTCTAGTTTGCCTGGAAGATATGGATTTAAGGCTAAACTCGAGGGGGTCAGCTTCCTGGGAGATGATGCAGCTGAAAATCATTAGCAATAATCAAGCACAAGCCGTTAAAAAAACTCAATCCGTAAAAAATCTTCTGGATTGAGTGAGGCTTTGTAAAGAGTTCTTTAAAACATCTCACAAAATGAAAACCAGTATCAACATGAACGTAGGGAATTCTACTGCACTTGACTCTTTTCCGCTGGACTCATTTAAACAAAGAGTCCAAAAAAAAAAGAAAGAAAAGAAAAAGAAAGAAGGGAGGCCACCTTCCTCTAAGATAGATCTCTAGTTCATGGTACATCTGTGTTAAATTGGCATAGGTTTACTCTGAAAGTAGAACTGGAAGTCCTGTCTCTTCCTCCCACCTTCCCACAATTCTGAAGTAAAAGATGACATTTTCTTGAATTGGTTCCCTTAAGAGAGTAACAACCACCCATGACAAAGAGAGTTCACAGTCAATATTATAAAAACTCAACGGGAATCCCTTTTGATTAGAATCCTTTTAAATAATCCCTCCACTTCAAAATTAGATGTTGATGTGGTATTTTCTGATGGCTAGTTACTCTTATTTAAAACAATTTTCCCCCAATAGTTACAGGTAATTTATCTTAAGTTAAAAGTTATAAGGTGACGTATACCTTTAGTCTCCAATTCAATAATGCCATGATAGAGTCATCTACAAATTACTTGGCCCTCAGTTTAACAGGATGAATAAAAAGATTCTCTCCACTTGCTCCTCTTTAATGACCAAAGCAGAAATGAGCGTATGGGTTGAGGATTTCAAAATTAGAAGGCAAGATATCTGAAAGTTCATGTGTCTAATAGGATGATAGGTTTTGATCAGACAGTAGATATTTGTCGAACACAAACTGTATGCCAAGACTTGGCTGGGTACTGGGAATTTAGTGGCAGACAAACATCAGTCTTTTTCCCTCATAGAGTTTTCCCTCTGGTAGGCACTTGAGAAAATTAGATGTGGTAGAATTGCAAGAAAATACCTCAAATCCTCTGGGCAGAAAGGAGGTTGAAGAGATGAGAGGAAATGGAACTATCTTAATGAAAAGACTGCTTAGTATAGGACGCATTCCACAAGAGATAGGAAACATCTATCAAGTGCTGAAAAGGAGTCAGCTGGGGATAAACCAGGTTCTGTCTGAAGAGCATGGTACTCTGGTGGGATGGGTGGAGGACCAGGTAACAGCTCCTTCAGGAGAAACCAGTATCTTCCTTCACTATGATAACACCATACTCAAAACCAAACATGAAAGAGAAATAGAGAACATCAGTGACCAGTGTTGGACAGAGGGCCTTCCATAACTCTGTCCTACATCTTGTCTCCTCAGTAGGGTCTTTCTAAGATTTCAGGTGCTTACCTCTTGCTTACCATACATACAGAATTAGGGTAATGTGCTCCAGATGGTTCACTGACACAGGGACTGAACTGAAAATACTGTGTTTCCAGGGGTGACTCAAGGCCTCTTGTTTAGTCTCAGAGAATATTTATTGTTTGAGAATTAGTTAGCAACCGACCTCTTCAGCTATTTTTCCTTCAGGAAGGAGCTTCCCCTGTTACTATAAATAAATCTAGTGGAGTATAATTTGAGCTTCATCACCATCTGTAGAAGTCGAGATGTTCTATTTAGCATCAAGTTAATTATGTCTGGGTTAAAAACATACCTTGGTTTATCTCTTTTAATCCCTTCTATCTCTGACCAATACTGCAGCAATATGAAGTTTGCTTATCCTGGGAATATCACAGGTCAAAAAAGATAATAGCCCATACTTATAGATACATATCTAGCCAATGCTTGTCATGTAGTAGTGGATATCCACAAAATTTTAGAATGATTCTGACTTAGCAGTGACAAATATTTCAATAATTAGTTTCTCAGATATTACCATGGAAACACTTGTTTTATTCACAGACACAGAGTGCACAAATGAAAAATCATTTATTTATTGAACAGTATTTATTGTGTATCTACAAGATGCTAAGTATTGTAATATGACCTGGGGAGACAATGTGAAAAGAACAAAGAAAGTGTTCTCTCCAATGGAACTGAATGAGGAAGATGGATAATAAAAAAACATAGAATGAGTCAATAATATAAATTTTGAAAACTGAGTTGAAGAAAACTACACAGTATAGACAGAAGAGAACAAAGAAAAAGCGGAGATCTACTTTACGTAGTGTTGTAAAGAAAGTTACTTTTTAAAGGGATATCATTTAGGCTGAAACTGAACGAAAATGAGAAAGGGTAGTCATACAAGAAGTGGAAACAAGAGCCTTCTAGCCAACAGAATAAGCTTGTGCAAAGACCCTGAAGGGAGAAAAACCTTGGTTTATTTGAAAAATTGAAGACATCTGTGGCTGAGTATAATAAGAGTAATAAGCAAATGTAATACGAGTGCAAGAATGAAATTGGACAAAAAGAGTATTATGTTTGAATAAAATCCATATACACACATGCAGACGCGTGCACCTGCAATTAAATAGGAAGAGCATCTAGAAGGTTGTAATTGCAAAAGATA